TCCTGTGTGTACAGCGCCAGCGTGATTGGCCCTCAGCCTGCTACTGCGCATGCACAGGATTTCTGATTGAGAGCGCTGGGCAGTCTGTGTGTCCGCAGTAGCAGGTTGAGGGCCGATCACGCTGGCGCTGTACACACAGGAGACATGGGCAGATCCGGGAGAGCGGTGTCTGCCCAGCTGGCTGAGGGACTGGTATGGTAATGACTACTACTGAGGATGTGAGGGGAATGAGATGCCTGCAGGGTGGGGGTCGTGTCACTGTAATAATAATGACACCAGGGGACATAATAATAATGACTCCAGGGACATAATAATAATGACACCAGGTCACATAATAATGACACAGGGGGGACATAATGATAATGACAAGGGGGGGGAGACATAATAATGACTCCAGAGGACATAATAATAATAATAATGATACCAGGGGACATAATAATGATAATGACACCAGGGGACATAATAATGATAATAATGACACCAGGGGACATAATAATAATAATGACACCAGGGGGACATAATAATAATGACACCAGGGGACATGCTCAGGTGTCATTATTATTATTGTTGCTATTCTATGCAGTGGAAGTGGTAGGTGGCGAATTATACACACATTTACCATGAAAGTAGAATTATGGGGAGAGTGAAATGCGCTCTTCCCCCTAGTTACTGAAGCTGCCCCAGGTTGGCTCTCTTGATCGAGAACTGAGCGATCACATACCGCTGATCACTCCGTTCCCGCACTCACTCTCTCTGCAGAGAGCGGTGGCTGCCAGTCACGACTCCCCGCAGGAATGCCCCCCCTCCCCTCTCTGATCCTCCAACGCTGACTGGAGAGATGGATGGGGCGGGCACAACCTCTAGAGAGGTAGAGTCAGCTGTCAATTAGGTGGTGGTGTGGATCTGGACAATATTTTTTGGATCCATCCCAGCTGCAGCGCTGCTCTGCTCTGTCAGCATGTAGCGGGCAATATTGCATGGGGGGCGTGGTGGGAGGCCCAAGAAAATGTTTGCCCGGGGTCCAATCAATATTAAAGACGGCCCTGCGCACAGTGACTCATGCGTTACGGCAATACCATATTATGAACAGGCTCTTAAAGTGCACCTGTCATGAGAGAATGATTCATGCTGTCTTGGCTGACATTCTAAAAAGGCTCATTTCCTGGCTGCTGTGCTAATCCCCTGGCTATAATACCATTTGAGTCACAGACCCAGAACAAGCAATTCTGATTTCACAACATCCAGGTCTATTAAAACAGGTCATTAGCATTTTATTTTTACATTTTGTAGGTTTGGTCCTATTTTTTAATGACAGGTGCACTTT